TAAAAAAAAAAATTAGAGAAGAAATTATTAATCGACTCTGCCTTCTCGTCTCCTCTTAGCTCTTACATCCGTTAGGGTTCATCAGCAACAGATTTTACAATTCTATCAGTCTCTTGGGTATCTCTTATCAGTTTTTGGAATCATTCTTACGAATCATATCATCGTTATCATGTCATCTTTTCAAATCTCCTTAAACATCTCATTTTAGAATTTTTTCATTGGCCATTTACAAGAGCTTCAGACTACGACAGATCCCGTTAAATCAAAACGATGATGATGACTTCAGAGGAACCAATGTCGTAAAAAATTGTTTTCGGGTATGTAATCGGCTTCCAAATGGACTTTTTAGTTGTGCGCATCAATGGATTACTTGGAAAGGCATACAATATAGGTCTGGGTCATTGAGGCACAAAGTTCTCATTCTCTTCTTCTCCTGGTCTCTAAAAAACTCCTATACGATTTAAAGATGGTCAAATGCGAATATAGAACAAGTATGATGCACTTAACCAACAATCTCCTCCTTAGTAGATCAAAATCCATAAATACAAGGTGCAATGGCTGCTTGACTTGGTATGGAATTTTTTGAACCTTTTCAGTATAAGTTTTCCCTCATGAATTAACCAAATGCTCATGTTTTCTTGACTTGGTATACTTTCCTTCGACAACAAGTTCTTAGAGTAGTACTATTGGTGAGCTCAAAAGTTCAGTGACCATGACGCCAGTGGCCCCGAGGACTAATCTAAATATTGGGATGCACTTATGGTCTTCACACCCTGGAGAAACTGTGAAGGTGATACTTAAGTCATCATTCATCGTAATTTTACATGCAAAGTAGCCTTTCTGATTTGGTTATAACCTCATGTGTTTACTGAAGGCAGAAAATGAAACAATCTAACCGTCAATCCACTAGGCGGTCCAGATTGCAAACACATGTAATGTACTATCTCTTTCATGAATTGGGTTGTGGTGGGGATAAGTTTGTGGGTCTAAAGACAAAGTGAGCACAAGGTTCGATAAAAGTCAAACCCACAACCAGTAATATTCTCTTCCTGTTTTTGTAGATCAGGCTGAAGTTGTGAATGAGAAAATGGTGTTGTAGTTGTTAGGGAAATATAAAATACTTTTGCATACCGAAGTAGGGGCAATTTGCCAAAYCATTTTCTTTATGCACACGTTGCTGCAGGTTAGATATCATCAGTAGCGTAAGTCTGAGGTGAAGCTTTTACGATGTTTGTTTTATGTGTTGCGATCAATATTTTGATTTGTAGTCGTCTTTAACAATGGAAGAGCGTCTTTCGTCTTTAACAATGGAAGAGCGTCTTTACCTCATATACATACTATATTAAATGCGTTGCTACAATTTTTCTCTCCTCTATTTTGACAACTGTTTCAACTGGTACATAATCCAAATATGTGCTTAAAACCAAATCTGATAGGTAAGCTTAGCAGATGAAAACATCTGCTTTGCAACCGAAGATTTGAGATTAAATGTAAAATGGATGACTAAATAATATAAAAAGGGGATGATATCTTAATAAGTTTGAGGATTACCTCACCAAAGGGAAACCCTCAATAAGTTTAGGTTCGAATTGGTTTGGTTCTAATTGTCGCGTGGTTCAAAAGAATACGATCTGGTTATGGTTGGTTTAAATGGTACCGCTACACACAAAAAGAGAGAATATTAATGCAGCGTTAACA